AAAAAAGTAGACAAACATATCACAATTAATATCAGAATATTGTGCTATAAAACTACCATTTGCATGCATGAAATTCAAAAAATTAGGTACAACATTTTACCTTTCAGTACTGTCAGCACAAGCATATCTCTGATAGGCTTTGTGCATGCATTGAACGACTCAACAAAGTTTGTTGTGTTATAATCACAACAAACTATTCTGTCAAACTTGTGCACACTCCATTGCCCTTCCACATCTGTAAGTACTGAAATGTTGCTGCATCATACTCCTTAATCTTAGACATTTCTTTTTCATACACATATTCATTATATGCATTTGCTGCAATCCAAAAGAGCATATGAAACTCTGTCCCACTCCATCCTGCAGTCTTGCAGTTTGAGTACAAATGCTGGCAGCATACTCTCCTAGTTGCTCTTGGGAACACCTCAAATAGAGCTGATTCAACACCCTTCAAAAAGCATGGAAAAGTTAGATAGTGGAGCTCAAGATTACCAATACAAATTTAAAAAAAAGGAGAAATTTACCCTCATCCCGTCACTTATAAAAGTCCAATCATCCTTTTGAGATCCATACTAGGCAAATAAGCACCTTAGGTTTCTGAAGAAATAAGTCCATGTATCTATGCTCTTTGTGTCAACAAGACCATAGGCTATTACAAAAAATTCATTATTCCCATCAATTGAAACTGCAGTGAGCATAATCTCTTTGTAATAGCCACTTAGATGTGCACCATCTATTCCTATGATAGGTCTGCAACCATCCAAGAATCCTTTGACCTGAGCTGTAAAATATATGAAACAAGCCTTGAATTTGAAACTGTGATCCCTACTGCCAGTCCATGTAATAAGAGCATATGACCCAGGATTTGTGGCCTTAATCATCTCTGCATACTATGGTAGGAGTGCATAAGACTGAGCAAAACCACCATGTATTTGCTCCCTGGCTAAAGTCTTCACTTTGTAGAACAATCTCAGCTTGACATGGATCCTGTACCTTTTCATGCACACTCTTTACAATGATTCAACTGGAATCTCTGGGTTTGCCTCCAAGTCTTGTATAAAATGTCTGCAAAGCCATGCTAAAGAAACCATAGGATTCTCTACCAGCCTCCCACAAGTTGTATGTTCTCCTTCTAGCTTCTTTATAGCCCAGCTGACTTTATCAATAAGGATTGCTGCATGAATCCTCCAATTGCAATCACTGATCAAACACCTTAACGTGTATCTTTGATTGTCAGCATAGTCAACTAAAACAGAAAACCCTTCTTGTATGCAGTAATCTCTAAATACCTCAAGAAATTGTGTTTTGGTTTCAAAAATTAACCATGGTTCAAGTTCAATGGACCCAAATGGTAAGTGAGACCATACTTTGCCATTTCTGTACAGCTTGTCTAATACATGGGACCCATATATAAGTAATCTTCAAAGGTCTTCTTAGGGATATTTAAATATCAGCTAGATCGTCTTCTTCCACAATGTAGTCATCCTCAATGTTCAAGTTCATATCCAAATCATCCTTAACATCAGAAACTTTATAATCATCATCTTCACTATTATCAGAAGGCCATGCATCAGACTCACCATCACTTTCCTCAATAGGCATAGGTTTTTTGCTCCTAGTATTCACTTGCCTTCCTGCTCCTTTTTTTTTTCCCCAACCACAACACCATACTTATTTGCTGTGCTTCTAGGCACCCTCCACTCTCTAGGTTTAATTCTAGTTTGTTCTTTAGTCTGGGTTGGTTGCCTTGGTGTAGTTGATGTTGGTTGTGGTGGTGGTGGAGGTGGTGTAGGCTGCCTGGCTTGGGTTGGTGCTCTCTGCATATGTGGGTTGTTTGGGGAAGAATGGTGTGTTGGTGTTGGTGGTGGAGAAGGATACTCTTGGGAAACATTTTGGTGGTGGAGGTGTGGGCTGTCTTGGTTGAGTGGACTATGTAGGTTGGGTTTTTTTTCTTCTTTGGAGTTAGTTTTTTTTCTTCTTGGAGTTTTCTTTGGTGGTGATGGTGTCTTACTTTTTCCATTTGTGGAATGTTCTGTGGGTTGAGATGTTTCTTTTTGTGAGGGTTGAGGTTGAGATTCCCCTGGAAATACCTCATTAATTGCTGGGGTGTTAAATACTCTAACATATAGTCAACCCCATTATCATCTGCATTCACAACAGGGACCTCTATAGCCACAGTAAATGGCTGCTGGGCCTTTAGCTCCTCCTCAGCTTCTGGTGCCTCTGCATTTCTCTTATTCTCTTCCTCCCTTAGCCTAATTTTTTCAGCCCTGTTCTTCAAAGTTTTTGCCCAACTAGCTTTTGCAGACTGAAACACAAGAGATGGTGTTTCTGTCTCTTCTATAAACACTTTTATTTCATCCTTCCCTTCATTCCACTCCTTCATTTTCAACATTGCCCCATCATCAACTAACTCTAACTTACGATTAGTTCTAGGTTTACTCACAAACAAGGCGAAGTATTTAGGGAGGAAAACATTCTACTTGACTGAATCCTCAAACATGTACTCAAACAACTCCATCAAATTGGTCTTATCAGTGTCATTCACCCTAACATCAAAAGAACCACTTGTAGAACGAACTAACAGCCACAGTGCACTCATCCTAAGAATGAATGATAAACAACAACATTTAACAATAGTATATTGCATCACAATCCAAACAACAATTCGCATACAACACAACAAACTTAACCTAAATAATTCAAATTCGAATTTAATAGCATACCAACCAAACTAACATATATGATCATTGTCGAATAAACCCTAACCCTAACTCAATTTCGCAAAAAAAAACAACAAAATCAGAGCTCGAAATGCAAATCAATAAGAATAATAATACCTTGCGTAACTTAATCCAGCCCAGGTGCGAACTTGGTGCGAAATTCAGTCATGAACACCTTTCTCTCTCTCAAACCTTGTCGAGATGCTTCTTTGTTCAATCGTAAGCCCAAATTTGCTTTCCTAGTTGCAATCTACCTTACACCTTCGAAAGTTTGAAGCTTTTTGATTGATTTTTAGGGTTGAAGTGTTATGGAGAAAAACAGAGAGTAGCTTCAATGGAAAAGGGAAATGGGGAGGTCAATTTTTTCGAAGTGGAAATGTGATGTTTGGGAGAGTCAACCCTATCAATGGTGCCAGTTGGATGTATAAGGGCATAATAGTAACTTATCCCAAACGACATACTAACGACAGTTGCCAAAAAAGGCATTTTGTATTAATGTACAGTAACTGAGTGGTATTTGGTGTATTAGAAAGTTTTTGGTGGTATATGGTGAAAATTCCTTTTTTCAATAATAATAATAATAATAATAATAATCAAAGGAAATCTCTCTCAAAACTTTATATATTTTGCAGTGATTATAGATAAGGTTTCCAATTGCTGCATGAACGTATTGCTTTTTCTGATTTGGGTTCCACGATTTCAGAGCTTTGTTTTGGGGGTGGTTGGAAGATTTAGGGTTTTTACCAATCTTGAAGTTGATCTGCTTTTGATTTGATTAAAAGAATTGGGTTTAATGTATATGGTTAGTTGATTAGTTTCATGTACAACAACAATTTGATTGATTCTTTTTTTGGGGGCAAAAAATTGAGCTTTCTTTTAACCGGAATTTAAGATGTAGAAATTTGAGTTTTGGTTGATCTGAAAATTGGAATTTAAATTCTTTGTTTGGAATGTATTTTATGGGTCAGGTAGATTTATGATGATGCAATTAAACTCCTTGTTTCTTATCTTTGGGGTAGATATATGATGATACTTTGTTGATAGTTTGCGTGATTTATTGTTGATTTCTTATGCCAAATTCTGATATTGACGTGGGAAAGTAATTGGAGAAGATTTACTGTTCAGGATGACTAGTTAGTTTAATTAATGATAATACAAAGAATTTGTTGAAGCTTCAAAAACATCATATATATTTGTTGCTGGAGATCTTAGAGGAAGCCATCAATATCATCAGGTCGTTAGTTTGTGGGATTATGTTATTTGCTCTTGGTTTCCTATTATATATTCTGCAGGACTGTTCTGTTGCTTGCAGTTGCAGGCTTGATCTACAGAGAAGGATTATTGGATCCCAATTAGATATGGCCAGACCACTTTGGATCATCCTTTGATCCCTTTCGATACGTACTCTATTTGATGTGGACATATATGCTTCATAGGATCTTTGGTTAACTTCTCCCAGCAAGATGATAGCGAACAAGAATTGGAATTTGAAGAGGATCTTTGGTTAACCTCGCCTAATAACCTAATTAGATATTTAGATGCATGCTGTATTGACCTGACCAGGCTTATTTATGTAAAGCGATGAATGACTTTAACTCCCTTTGTGCAGGCACATCAAGGTTTATCAGATGCAGAAAAGAGAAAGCTGATTATTACAAGGTCGAAGCAGGCGCCCACATATGCAGTTTAAAACAAGACTATGTCAATTCCCACAATTCTGCTAGCTAGGACCGCGGTGGGTGTTGGAAACATACAATGGAATACAATATTGGCGACCTATGCCCAAATTATGCCAACCAAAGGATCGCCGATTGTGCTATGCAGCACTCAGGTGGGCCTTATGGAGAAATTATCACTGCAGGTAGTAGTGCATCCTTGACTGGCACGGCTTCCATAGAACTATGGGTGAATGAGAAGGCCAATTATGACTAATACTTAAATACTTGTGCCCCTAACAAGGTCTGTGGACATTATACTCAAGTAGTTTGGAGTAAGTTGGCTCAGCTTGAATGTGCTAGGGTTCAATGTAATAGCGATTGGTATTTTATCACATGTAACTACTATCTGCGAGACAATTATGTTGGCCGGAAACCTTACTAAACTATCCATGGTGCTTGTTCTACTAGTTATTTGTCGTAATTATTTATTCCAATGTTAATAAACATGCTCAACGTTGTGATGGGAAAGTCATTGTGATCATATGCGAATCATAGCTCAAGTTAAATGTCTTTCAATAAAATCATTTGCTACGATATCATGTTAATTAAGTGTGAAAAAATAATGATTGACCTTGTAAAATAAATTCAGTAGAAACATTTACAATATACCAAGTATACAGCAAGTCAGCAACAAGCTTGAAGGGCAAGCTTTAGGAAAATAAACCTAATAACACTACACAATGTGCAAAAGGAAACAACTATCTTACCTAAATGGTAGGATTCATATATAATCCTAACGATTTACACATTTTCAAGAGGGTCGCCTCTGGTTGAGTTCTCTGCCCTAACGGTTCCCTGGAAAGAAAATAAGTTTGGAATAATAAAACAGTATGTGGGAGAGAACAATTTCTCAAGTAATTCAGCATGCTACAAACACAATAAAAACATGTATAGCACTTATACGCGAACTGTGAAAGCTCAAAACAACAATGAACATAGCAGGTTGCTACTGTTGTCACGATTTTAGTATAATACGGGGTATATGTCAGTGTATATATGATAATTGTATAGATTCAAGAATAGAACATCGATCCTAGAACATTAGTTATAACATGAATCATATTGTGTAGTTTGAGAACATTAATACAAATTAATTACATCGATATAGATGCAAGTTTATTTTTAATCTAGTATGCGACATAATTGAGCAAATGACCAAATATAGCATGCATTATCGGGTCATGGTCACAGGATACAAGCCATTACAATCAAAGATAAGTAAGTAATAGTCTGAACCACAAAGAAAAGAAGATATACATAATGCATACCCTTGTAAAGAAAATTCCTTTTCGTCTTGTGAGCTTGACCTCCTTTTGTTCCCAAATCTGAATAAGTGCATTCAAAAAAGTATATTAATTCAAAATCACACTTACTCTGATTCAATGTCTAAGACAGAAAGTAACTCTTCACGAATCTTAAATAACAGGCCACATTTTTATTCACGCCATTATACAGTAATGTCACACTTTTAATTTACTAAGTTGAATCTCAAACTTAACCACATGAAACCCTCGACTATGTATTCCTATAGTGAAATAAAATTGTATTAAAACCCGATTCCTTAAAGAGACTCAAAATCATTGAATACTAGGTAAGTTTCAATGGAAAACCTGCCTTGTTCTTTGATCGTGCTTCATCTTTTCTGTCCAACTTATCTAAAACTCTGAACAAAATACTCCTGTTAGTTGAAATTCCTACGAGCGAGCACATGACACAGATAAGAATAGCAGCCCACAAGGATTTGTGGTGCACGACAGTGTAGACTCCAGTCATAAACGCCACCAATGTGCCATAAAAAGACTGGATGAGTACTAGCACACTTCGATCAATTAGTAGTTGGGATTCATCTTGATCACAAACCATAGACCATATGAGGCAGAACAATACGAACATGGCACAACACATTGCATATGTGTCTGCGAGTATGAACACTGAAAACGATACCTTCCTTACTAAGATGATTTCTCCTGTTCTTTGGTCAAAGCCTCCGGGGACAGTAAATGCTGCTGCAAGTGTAAGGGTTTCTAGAAGGGCTGCCACAACAGACAATGTGGTTCTCATCTCTCCTGCTGACGACCCCAAATTTCTAAGCCGAGGATTGATTCCCACACGTTGAGCCATCTCTTCCTAGAGTGAAAAAATATTGTAACACATTTCAGTTTTGCATATTGGGGCAGGGGATTACAATACAATGGGATGAAAACTAAACAAGAGAGATTAAAATGTATCAGTTAGAGCAGTAATTCAAATGCAGTAGATAACTAGGCGTACCCATTCGTAATATTGGTCGCATAGCTCTGCCAGCAATTTCGTGGCAGTTTTATTCCTTATGTCTCTAATGCTGCGATTAACACCTTTATGGAGTAGTAATTCTGCAAATAGTATATCTTCACGTCTTAATGCAAAGGTGTTTTGCCATCATAATCACGTCTATTTTTCATCTCCCAAAGCAATGGGATTGCTAGAAATTCCTCATACTCTTGGTAAGTGGTCAGCTTGATGTGGTGCAAGGGCGAGTCTTCTTGTTCTATACAGAGCTGCCTAAAATCATCGTAATGCATTATAAAGGCTTCAATAGCTTCTTAGTGGCCTCTCCTGCATAGTTCTATCCAAACATTGGGAGAAATTGCGATTGATGAAGGTTCTTTTGTAATCAACAATTTGGTAAGCCATCCAGCACCAAATTCTGATGCTATGTCAATAGGCCTTTTGCCATTTTGGTCGGGTTTGTACATCAGCTGTGGAAATGTCTTCAACAACAACTTTGCAGTTACTTCTGCACAGAATACATAGATGTTAACATATAAACATGATACAAAAAAACATTATGGTACTCTCAATTCGGATTCTTACCTGTGCAATTAGACAGGACATACATGATTGTCCGGCCATCATGGTTTTCAGTGGGAACGGTATTTAACTGTGTAGAGTCTGCAGCAACATAATCACAAATCTTTTGCACAACTCGATCCATTCCTTTTTCAATGGAGATGAAGAGTCGGCTTTCACCTCTACTGCTACGCAGATTACATATCCAAGAATCCCTTGATATGATATGCAACACTAGATTTTCTAAATTCTGATACAGTGCCAAGTCAAGAGGTATAATTCCATCTTTATTCTCATATCGCCATTGTGGAGAATCTCGGATTGTACATTTTTCCAGCAGGCTCAATGCAAACTCTTCGTTATCATGTTCTATTGCAATATGTAGAGGAATATCACCATCATCGTTTGCTAAACAGCTTAATTGGTGGAGAGAATCAATGTCAACCTCTTCCAGCAACAGAATCGGCCACAATTCACCTCTTTTTGCCCACTCATGGAGCATTGAGGTTCCATTCTCACCAGTAACACGAACAATGTCTGGATGTTTCCCGTACAACAACCTCCAAATTTCTTCTGGTATCACAAACAAATAATGCGTCATATTACTATTAGAAAATAAACCTGGTTCAGGAATCAGTATTACTTATATTGTTTAGATGTGTAGCTATTAAAATTTTCAAGGGTAACTTATAATCTACAATTCTACATATTTGTGTTGGTTTTTTCCATTTTAATTTACAAAAACACCTGTACGGCAGCTGTACTAGCTTAGCCTAACATAGTCAATTCTTGAATAAGATATACTGTATGCAATTCTAAATCTCACCTGTGCAATGGGACACGATGTAGAAGACAGTCAGGCCATCATAATTTTCAGTAGAAGTACTAAACTGCGAAAAGTTTTCATCACCAATCAACTCTAAAGCAGCGTTGCAAATCTTGTTCACAACTTCACCCATTTGCTTTTCAGCAGCTAATAAGAGCCGCCTCTGCCATCGACTGATAGGCTCTTTGTAAGTCCAAGAATCCTTGGAAATGAAATGTAATACTAGATTTTCCCAACCCTTATCCAGTGCCAAATCAAGAGCTGTAACTTCATATCTATTCTCATATCGCCATAGTGTGGCATCTGAAGCCTTACATTTGTCCACGAGACATAATGCAAACTCTTCGTTATCATGTTTAACCGCAACAAGCGGAGGGATATCACCATCAACGTTTCTTAACAAGCTCAGTTTCTCAAGAGTACTAGTGTCAACCTGTTGCAGCAACAGGAGCAGCCGCAGTTTGCCTTCTTTCGCCCACTCATGGAGCACTGAGGTCCCGTCTTCACCAACTAGGAGTAGGAGTTCAGGGTGCTTGTATAGCAACCTCCAGACTTCTTCTGTAATCACATGTATTCAATAGTTCATATTACATTGTATGATACACTCAAGGAGTCTCAATCCACCAGATTGATAATAATAAATTACTTCATATGCATTAGGAACAGAATGTAAGTTTGTCTTTTACATGTGCAAGTGTTCACTCTATGTTCAACATTTTACTCAACATAAATAACAAAAATAAAATGATAGAGATTTAAATAGATTTACAAATCATGTATGAAAAAAGCTCAACTGTAACTATCTTACGATTCTTACCCTTCAATACAAAAAGGAAAAAAGAAAACCAAGTAATTTAGGACAGGAGAAACCTTAGACAGAGGGTGGAAGCTCACATCAGCTTCACTCGTGACGTTTTTTCTTTTTTTAAAATGAAAGTTAATAACAGCGTTGTCAACTATGGGCCAAAAAAAGCCCAGGGCAAAAATGGTGAGCACAAAAGAAAAAAAAAAAAAAAATACACAACTCCCTAGACACTTTATTTCACAATATTCGCAACAACTTGTACAAATTGACAATTAATATTTGTAATTATACATTAATAAGAAGTATAGAATGTTGATATAATAAAAATATACATAGACTAATCTAAAAATAATTTTTTAATATTTTACATGGCAAATATTATCTTTATAAATAATGTTAGTTAGTGAAGAATATTTAAAAGTATAGTGGTGTGAAAGTTTTATATTTTTGCCCATAAACTGGGTGAAAATTTGTTCACCAAAAATGAATCTAGGGAAAATGATGTGAGGAATTAGAATGTGAATAGAGATTTGAGTGTCGGCCATTTTTTTGGCATTGCTCTAATAATTCAAATAAAATAGAAGCGTTCATACTAAACAGTAAACACCATACAATGATATGAAAATGACAAGTTAAAAAAACGGCAAAATTCAAGTTAATAAGACTTAATATATTTTTTTGAGAGCAGTAAGACTTAATATATCAGCCTTCTAAAATAGGGGAAAACCACAATTAGCGGTTTGCTACTTGGGCAAAACCGCTACTTGAAATAGCAATTTTCCCATGTTTTTGAAAGCTGATATACGAAGTTTGTATATCAGCATCTTATTAACCGGGGATCCCTCCAAGAAAACTCACTAACCTGAGCATTTAGAAGCAACATGGAAGGGGTTGAAACCATGGCGGCCGCTAAGACTATAACAGCAGTCAGATCTCAAGATATTCAGAGCGACATTGTTGAACCCATATGATATCGCGAGGAAGAGGGGACTGTTCCCATAATTATCAACTATACTACACAGCAATTTCAAATCCATTAACAATATCTCTAATCCACATTTCTCTTCATTAAATTCAAGGAACACGTGCAACGGAGTTCTCCCATTTTTAGCGCGCGCTAACCATGGTTTTCCACCAGGAGGATATTGTACCACAACATGATGAAGACCAGATGATGACAACGACAATGAAGGTTTTTTATAAACGCTAAGCATTAGCTGGAGCAACTCAAAATTGCCCCATATTGCTGCTAAATGAAGAGGGTTCCACTTCCTATAGCTTTCTTGTTGCGAGAGGAGGATATGCAACTCTCGAGTCGACAGTATCTGAATTGCTTCTCTGATGTATGGTGTACTCATAATGCCACGAGTGGCGTAATGGAAGATGTTATTACCGTTATGATCAGAGGCGAGGATGAAGTGGGTGGGTTTAGCTGATATAAATTTTCTAAGGAACTTCACATCACCTCTACTAGCTGCTTCCTTCAACTCCCGGTCTAAAATCATGGAGGACGACGAAGTTCCCAGATAGATAGACAACTGCAACTAGTGTGCTGATCAACAGAGTTCAGCAATCAGCAGTATCTTAGTGTGTTAGAACATTGACAGTTTTCTAAGTCATTATTGACTTAGTAAGCTCACGAAGTTGCTGGGAAATATTATATATGTGGGGTCATCCATGTCAAAAACATTCTAGAATAAATATAAAATCTAAAACATTCTCAGTATAATCTAGATATTTTTGCTTATCTGAATATTATGAACACTCCTAATCTTGATATTTACTGAGAATTGCCAAAAACTATAACTTCACTGTATCAACCTAAGCAATCGACTAGAGAAAACCCATATCCCCACTTCGGAGTTCGGGCACTAAGCAAGGCTCAACCTCATGACTTCAAGATCACGAGTTCAAACCCATTAGGGTCTTAGGGAGACTTTCACGGTAGGGACTCCCTCATCTTTTTCCTAATGAATTTAACTAGCAATTTTAAATTGAATTGAATCGAAGGAGGTGTTGGCTTAGTATCGTCCTCTTTTTAATATACTTCATCCGTTCCAAATTAGATGATACTTTTGACTTTGATACTGTGCATAAACTTTGTTTTGACTAACATCTGTGATTTACAGATTTCAAAAATTCAAAAAAAAAAAAAAAAAAAAAAAAACAAACCCTCATGTAACTCATGTAGGATCATGTTATAAAATTCAAGTTTGAGTATTTTTTAAAATAGGATAATTAAAGTTATTTTTGATTAAATTTATGCATTGAAAAATGTGATTAAAAAAAACATGTTTTAGAACAGAGGCACTATAAAGGATTAAGAAATTGAGTGGAAGTTCACTAAAAAGTATAACTTAATTAATAACAAGTTGTGTCTCCTGTTCCCAGTTGAGAAAAAAATGAGCTTGATATTTTTTCTTGATTATAACAAATATTACGAGTATTAATGAACAAAGAGTCACTTAATAATGACAATAAAGACAATATAACAATGCAAAGCAGTGAAAGATTACAGTGATAGAAGCATACCTTTTCTATTGACTGGATTTGATTTCGCCTCTCCCTAATTACTGAAGGTAATAGCTTAACCAGAAGTTTGTACTTCTTACAAAATAGTTTCCTTGGCAGAAACAGCTGCAACACTTACAAGTTACAAGAAGCCAGCAGCGTCCCGCTATTGCACAAGTATCAGCACACTTCAATCAACCAAAATGGGTGATCTATCTTAATCACAGATCATCCATTGATCACATGAGGTAGAACAAAAATAGCATGGACAACACATTTGCATTCAAGTATCTATCCACTATCTTGGTTAATTTGCTAGGAACTGAATTCTAGCTACTGGAAAATCAGAATATTAAGGATTATAAAACTGGATATTTGTATTGAAAAGCTATTAACCGATCAATACAATGGTGGATCCTTCAATTCGAGAACAAGGATGATCTCCCAAAATAAGCCTAAGCTTAACAACACAATTCTCTGGATATCCTACTCTATACCCATGCACCTATATTTATATTATTTAGAGCTTCTACAAGCTTCCATTCTACACTCTTCCCCCTAACAAACTTAGATTCTGTTGATAAGTATATTAGGTGACTCGTACTTCGTAGCTTTGTCCGCCCGATCGGGCGGACATTGCCCGGTCTGACCGGGCGGAAGAAGAAGAGGTGCCTGGCAAATTCGTTGAAGAAGCTGCTCTCGCGCCCGACCGGGCGAGCCTTCGCCCGACCGGGCGAGCCTTCGCCCGATCGGGCAGACCTTGCCCGGTCTGACCGGGCGGTGGGGGTTGGATACGTTGAAGCATTCGTATGGAGTTTTCTTCTCGCGCCCGATCGGGCAGACCTTGCCCGGTCTGACCGGGCGGAGAAGGAAAAATGCGGAGACGCGGATTTTACGATTTAAAGTTATCTTTTATGTTATCTTTTTGCCCAAGTATCTTTTATTTTAGGGATTAATATAAAACCTCCCTAATATTAGTATTAGGGTTAAGAGAGACAGAGTGAGAGCCGTTCTTGAGAAATACAAGAATCATCTTTGTAATCTTTGCAGTTTATAGTGAAATCATTCGATCTCGGTGCCCGTGGACGTAGCTATCACATCGATAGTGAACCACGTAAATTCTTGGTGTTGTTCTTATTGTTTGCATTGAATTTCTTTATTGTTTTCTTGTTTGTTTTCGACCTTTGCTTCCGCTGTCGCACAACAATTGGTATCAAGAGCTCAGGTTCAATCCTTGGAGAGTTTCTTGAAGATAACAATGGCAGGAGATTCAACAATAAGAATTGAGAAGTTTACCGGGAAAAATAGTTTCGGGCTATGGCAAATTAAGATGAAGGCTCTGTTAAAACAACAGCAGATATGGCGTCCGTTGGCTCCAAAGAGTACTACTTCGGAGTCAGGAGACGGACCGACTGACTCGCAGTTAGAAGTTATGGAAGAGAAGGCACACTCTACCATATTACTTAGTCTTGATGATCAAATCATCACGGAGGTTGCTGATCAGGAAACGGCGGCTGGATTGTGGCTGAAGCTGGAGTCATTGTATATGACTAAGTCGTTGACCAACAAATTATTACTGAAACAGCGGTTGTTTAGCCTCCGGATGCAGTCAGGTACTTCCTTACGGGAACATCTAGAAAAACTTAACTCTATTTTGCTTGATTTACGTAATTTAGATGTTAAAATTGATGATGAGGATGCTGCGTTGATTTTACTTGTATCTCTACCGTCTAGCTTTGAGAATTTTGTAGAGTCTTTTGTTGTTGGTAAGGATTCTATAACCTTAGAAGAAGTGAAGGCAGCACTTCATACTAGGGAACTCAGAATGAAAGCTACGAGTGATAATGGGGATAATGGTAGTGGGTTGTTTGTTAAGTCCGAAAAGTCTAAAAAGAATAAGGGGTTTAACAAGGGGAACAATGCTGGGTCGGGTGCTGGAAACGGCAAGGATGGATCTAGTAAAACTACTACTAAAACATGTTATTACTGTAAAGAACCGGGTCACTTTAGGAATAATTGTCCGGTGAGGAAAAACAAGTCCCAGGCTGCTGTAGTTGAAGAGAAACCGAATGAGAGCTATAATTCAGAGGAAGATTTAGCATTAGTCAGTTCTGCTAGGTCTGATGATTTATCTGATAACTGGGTTCTAGATTCGGGGTGTTCGTTCCATATGTGTCCACGTCGAGATTGGTTTGATACATATGAACCTCGCAATGGGGGTATGGTTATAGTCGGTAACAATGCTCCATGTAAGGTCACAGGTATTGGTTCCATGAGGTTGAGGACTGTTGATGGGCGGAGGTTAACTTTGACTAATGTACGGCATGTTCCTGCTTTAGGAAAGAATCTGATTTCATTGGGTACCCTGGATGACTTGGGGTACAATGGTGTGTTTTCAGATGGGGAGTTGTGTATTTTCAGAGGTTCTGAGTTGGTACTTAAGGGTATCAAAAGGAACACCCTCTATGTTTTTGAGGGTGTTACACTGCCTAGTTCTGCGGTTTGCGCATCTGTATCTCACCAGGAGATGACTAAGATTTGGCACATGAGGCTTGGTCATATGGGGGAGAAGGGGATGCAGCTATTGTCCAAGAGGGGTCTTCTATCCGGGGTCAAGGTTGCCAACCTTGAATTTTGTGAGCATTGTGTGTTTGGTAAGAAACACAGGTCAAAGTTCAGCAAGGGTGCTCACATTACTGATGCAGTGCTCGATTACATCCATTCAGATTGCTGGGGTCCATCTAGAGTTGAAGGTATGGGAGGTTACCACTATTTTGTGTCATTTGTTGATGACAAGTCCCGATACACATGGCTTAGGTTGCTTAAGTCAAAGGATGAGGCCTTCAAAGTTTTCAAGCAATGGAAAGCTTTGGTGGAAAATCGACAAGGAAGGAAGATCAAGAAGCTACGAACGGACAATGGGCTAGAGTTTTGCAAAGACGAGTTTAATCAGTTCTGTGCAGATGAGGGTATAGGTCGGCATCATACTGTCAGGAAGACACCAAAGCAGAACGGTGTAGCAGAACGGGTTAATCAGACACTGCTAGAGAGAGTTCGATGCATGCTCTCTAATGCAGGGCTTGGGAGGAGGTACTGGAGTGAAGCTGTGTTAACAGCTTGTTATGTCATTAATAGGGGTCCTCATTCTGGAATTGATTCCAAAATTCCGTTTGAGATCTGGAGTGGTAAGTTGCCTAATTTTTCGAATTTGAAGATTTTTGGTTGTGTTGCTTATTATCATGTTATTGAGGGTAAGCTGGATCCACGAGCCAAGAAGGGGTGTTTTGTTGGGTACGGGGATGGTGTGAAGGGGTTTAGAATTTTTTCACCTTCGGAGGGTCGGGTCATTCTTAGTAGGGATGTTACTTTCGATGAAAACACCATGTATTCAATTAAAAATGCAGAGATTTCAGATTTGAGAAGGGAAGGAGACAATTTATTACAGACAGATGGGGTACTTGAGGTACATCAGTCTACCATTGCTGATTTACCTCGGGTACAATATATTGATGATGATGCTGATGTTCCAGTGCCGGGTACTCCTGAACCTGAGATTACTCCTACTCATTCTAACTCTGGGGATGAGGTGGAGCAATCTAATCAGGGGTCATCTAGTCAACCTGACACCATTCTTGAGATGCCTAAACGAGTTATCAAGAAGCCTGTTAGATTGATTGAAGAGATGGAGGGAAGAAATTGCTGTGTTGATGCGATGACAGGTTATGCATTGAGTGTAGCTGATGATGTAGAGTCATTTGAACCTGCCACATATAAACAAGCAATTAGTTGTAGTGAGTCTGCGCAATGGCTTGCCGCAATGGGTGAAGAGATGCAGTCTCTTTACAAGAACAGAGTGTGGGAACTGGTAAAGGTACCGGAAGGGAGGAAGCTTGTGGGTTGTAAATGGATTTACAAGAAGAAAGAAGGGTTGTCGGAAACTGAGCAAATACGTTTTAAGGCTAGGCTAGTTGCTAAGGGGTTCAGTCAGGTAGAAGGGGTTGACTTTGTTGAGATATTCTCACCTGTGGTTCGACATACTTCTATCCGTGTGTTATTGTCAATTGTAGCACATTTTGATCTTGAGCTGGAGCAGTTGGATGTTAAAACGGCCTTCCTTCATGGCGATTTGGAGGAGGAGATTCTGATGAAGCAGCCCGAAGGATTCGAAGCTCCTGGAAAGGAACACTATGCCTGCAGATTGCTAAAGTCATTGTATGGACTTAAGCAATCCCCCCGACAGTGGTACAAAAGATTAAAGGAGATGCTTAACTCGGAGTTTGACATGAAAGACTTGGGTGCAGCTAGGAAGATTTTGGGTATGGAGATCTACAGGGATCGGGCTAGAGGTAAGTTTTTCTTGACTCAGAAAAGCTACATTGAAAAGATTCTGTCTCGTTTTGGGATGGAAAAATCGAAGCCTATAAGTACGCCAACTACTGTTAGTTGTAAGTTGTCTTTGTCTATGTCACCTCAATCAGAGGAGGAGTTGTCTTATATGTCTAGAGTTCCATATGCAAACGCGGTTGGTTGTTTGATGTATGCTATGGTCTGTACTAGGCCGGATATTGCGCATGCTGTTAGTGTTGTAAGCAGGTTTATGGCTCGACCTGGGAGGGAACACTGGCAAGGGGTGAAAAGGATTTTTCGCTACCTG